AGTGTGGATCAAACTTAAAGAAACACATATTTCCTAGGTTTAGCCCATTTTTCCTGCCACAGCAACATTTCCCCAGTGATAGGATACTAGGCAATCAGACTTGTAGATTAAGGCCATCTTTACTTTTCAATAATGAGTCATAAAACAAAGCATCATGAAGCAGGGCATGCATTAGGGTAAACAGATACCCTTCACTATTTAAGGGAGACACTGCTTCAAAATACAAACTGAGTGTATTATCTAGCCTGACCCTAAGAGACAGAGCAACTGGCCAGTCACATTCATAGTTGAGCTGCTTTTTAATCAAATGCTTCTCCAGCTTTAGCCCAGTACATTAATTTCTGTATCCCACAGCCTCACACTCAGGATGTAAATAAAAGTAGCTTCATTAATAACTAATTTCAAAATAATTGATGCCAAAAGTGTCTAAATCAAAATATGAGAATTCAAAATATATTAAACAAAGCAATGATAGATTTCCCAATTTCCAGAATGCTGTAAAACTTCTTTACTCTCACATCTTAAAACTTATTTAAAGTATTTGATCTCACTGATTCTTGGAGTTTATTAGTTATCCCAAAGTGGGCAACGGGATCCAGATTTAGTATGCATAAGGGGAGCTCTGTTTTAGGCTGGGAAAACTGTAATGAGTAAGAGCACTTATTTATGAAATACTATTTAAGGTTAGAGCTTAATGGAATAGATAAATTGTTCTTTCTTAAATTGGGAGAAGACAAATATGAATCCAGAGAAGTTTGTAGGCTTTAGCGTGTTTTATTAGTTTCACCAGTATAAGGAGTTATCAGTTAATTAAAATGATGAGTGTATAATGCAAATATGTATGAAATATGGCATGGAGTAATACAATCAAATAAAAAAAATGAGCTACTGGGTTTCCCTTTCTGAATTATTATTTAATGATAAATAGTACAATTTAAGTAACAACTAAAAGGGAAAAACAGAAGTTCAGTTATCTCAAAGCCAGGTGTATTGTAAATCTGTAGTATTAAAAATAGTCTCAATTCAAATCCATTCATAAGAGATTAGATTTTAAAGCCAGGACTGACAGAGCCAATGAGATGTCCTTGGGAGGGAATTCAGGGGTTTGGAGCCAATTCTGAAAACGCTTAGGGCTTGACAGCCTAAACTGATGATCTTAATAAGAAGATTTGGAACATTGCTTTTTTAAAAAGGACCATTGCTTTGCTTCTGTTTCATTTGGGCAGCCCACAATGGACTCATCTGTTTCCCCCTCCCCCTTGCTCACAGTCTTGCCCTGGATTAATTCACTCCTCTCCTTCTTGTTTGCTGTTAATTGACCAGGTGTTCACTCTCACTCCCTCTTGTCTAGCTCTTCTCTCTGATCCTTGCTCGCTGTACACCGCCTTGCCCACAGAAACAGGCTGATGAAATCTCTGCTACCCCTGTCATTCTTTCTCTCCCCTCCCCTGCCTCCCCTGGTGAGGCTACTGTTGTTGTAGGTACAAGGCTTAGGAGGAATGGCGGCAACTGCTGCCTACCCATTTTCTGAAAGAAGAGAAAATAATAGGTATCCTGCAGACACACCCTGGCTTGGTTTTTTGTTGCCACGTGAGCTGTTTATCCAGGTTTTACCCAGATTCTGGGCTGATTGATTCATCCAAACTCTACTCAAGTCTCTTCTGCTTTAAAATCACTGTATTGGTGACAGTGGCCATGTCCCGTCCTGTACACACACCAGATCTTTGTTTTTGGTCAATGTCTTCTTTTGTCCTCTTTACCTTTGGTCTAGATGGGTAGGATAGAAATCCAATAAATAAATAAAATAAATAAATTATGGTGACATGTAAGTCATCACTCCAGCCATGGTAAACATGGCTTCTATTAAATTCTGAGGAAATCAAATAGAGTAGAACAGAACAGTACTTTTAAGTATCATCCCTCCCACACAGACACATAAAAATGTTGTGAGATATGTGGAAAGTTAGACATGTTATCGCTGCTGGAAAAGTGCTACTGAGGTGGCGTCTATTACTTTTGTGTAAAATATAAACGTGGGTGTATTTTTTAAAAGAACAACATGTTTTATTAGGCATAGGTTTTCATGTATTGAGGCTTACATCATGAGATGCATGCAACCCACAAAATCTTATGCCAAATAAAATTTATTAGTTATATAATTCAGCATCACTCTTGATTTTACAACAATAGACTGGCATAGCTACACCTCGAAACCTCTGCTCTATTGGTATTTGCTTTGTATGCACATTTTCCTTTTTTTACATGTAAATATGTTTACATAATCCCAGTACCACTGTTCATCTGTACCTTCCAAGATGTTATCAATTAGTACCATTTGGGATGTTTTTGACTGTATTATTAATCTATGGTAGATGAGGTTGAATGTGGCATTGAGGAGTAGCTTATATTTTCTACTTTTTCTTTCAGATTTCTTTCCCAAGTTCCTTTTATATATTTTTTTAAAAAATTAAATATTTGCACACAAGGACTGAAGTATCTGTTCAAGTTCAATTCCATTTTAATCCATTTTGTAGAGGATAAACATCATGTTCACTTTATTAGGCAGAAGCTTGGGAAAAACACTGGTAATTCAGCCTTTAATATCACAGTGGTCAGTTTACTAGAATAGGTACTGAGCTGCAGGGTATGTGGAGCCATCTTTTTTAGCAAAGCACAAGCAAAGCGTGCTGCTTATATACCGCCCCATAGTGCTTCAAGCACTCTCTAGGCGGTTTACAAGTTAATTATGCAGGCTACACATTGCCCCCCCCCCGCAGCGAGCTGGGTACTCATTTTACCAACCTCAGAAGGATAGAAGGCTGAGTCAACCTTGAGCCGGCTACCTGGGATTGAACCCCAGGTCGTGAACACAGTTTTGGCTGCAGTACACTGCACCACGAGGCTACCTCGTGTTCTTCAGATACCACAGCCTCTGGATTTGTGTCTTCAGATACTACAGCCTCTGGATTTGTGTCTTCAGATACTACAGCCTCTGGATTTGTGTAAATGTTTAGAGGAGAGTGTGAAGCCTCACAACCTCCATTATTGCTTTGTTCACATGAACAGGAACTGTGCTGAAGGGGAATGTCAAGATTCCCCAGTCAAGCCCCCCACTTCTTACAGCCACTGAGCCCCACTGAGTCAGATGTGGTGAATACTGTGACGACCTGGCTGGCACCATCTCACTCACTCAACGCCTGTTTTGTCTTCCAGACTTCAAGTGGTCTGGGGAGTCTTAACAGAGAAAGGACATTCCCAAAGCTAGGCACTGTGGGCACCCACTTTACAAGGCAGCTGGCACAGCTCCCACACACAAACACTGCAAAAGATCCCAGGAGCTGGACAAGGCTAAGACTGGTTTTAGTACCTTCCACCCTCTCAGCCAAAATCAAGAAAGGGAAAGAAAGAGAAACAATTCAAAAGGGTCAACAAGGGTAGACATTCCAAGCGGTTACAAGCAATGATTTTCAAAAAGTGGGCGCAAATGTGGAGACAGATCTACAGTATTCAGGATGAAAACATAGGGGGAATAAAGCTTCTCTACCCTATCTATACTCACACCTGAGTGGAGAGAGTGTGTTTTTTAGGGCACGAACAGAAAGCACACTGACACAGCATCATAAGATGAAAAATCAAATGAGCCTTTTCAGGCAGAAGGGGAGTGAGGCATCATTCCAGCAGAGACATTCCAGCAGAGACATGCTATATATTACATTTCCTTAATACCTTTTATACAAGTGAATGAGTCATTAAGCACCTGTTGCCGACTCATATTAAGTCCCTTTCATGTTTCGCCAGGAGCAAAGGCAATTTCTTGACTTGGTGCTATTCTCTGGAAAGGAAACTGGGTTATAGCTCAGGTGTTACAGATCAGGGTTACAGATCAGGTGTTATTATCCTGTTGGGGCAGCTTTGATACATTCCTTGATGAAAATAAGCATGGAGGCGTGTGCTCTATATCTCAGTCCTTACTTTGAAGTGTTTGATAACAGCAGATCAGAGTGAAGGTGTGAACCATCCGTTTTGGACTGTGTCTATGAGCTCAATTTCTCAGACTCATAGAAGCATAGAAAAATCCAGCAACGGAATTTCATATTTCATATACTCCAAATTCTTAATTTCTTCATAAGAAGGTCCTGCTTGTGTGTAAGCTCTATATTTACAGGGTCCTTGCTCACATGCGTATTTTGAGCTGAGAAGTCATGATCATATCTCTGATGTTAACAGTTATCTGTGTGCTGTGAGCTTAAAAAAGAAAAGAAAAGAAAAGCATGCTGCTTATATATTACCCCATAGCGCTTAAAGCTCTCTCTTGGGCACTTAACAGTTTAATTATGCAGGCTACACACTGCCTCTCTCTTGGACACTTAACAGTTTAATTATACAGGCTACACACTGCCCCCCCCCAGCAAGCTGAGTATCCCGTTTAATGATTTCAGAAGAATGTAAGGCTGCAGCAAGCTGAGTATCCCATTTAATGATTTCAGAAGAATGTAAGGCTGAGTGAACCTCGAGCCAGCTACCTGGGATTTAACTTGGGTCATGAGCAGAGTTTTGGCTGCAGTCCTGCAGTTTAACCTCTGTCCCACGAGTTCAGGGACCCTGGTAGATTCTCTCTCTCCATACACATACACAGTGGATAGTTACACAAGCTTAAAAGCAATGCAACAGAAGACTTCACAGGCCTAAAAGAACGTATTCTCCCTCTCCCGCCCTCTCCCTCTCTTTTTGGGGACGGGAAACCAGATGTTTCTCTCCTAAGAGAATTCCAGAAAGAGGGGAAACCTTCCATTCACCACTTTCAGTCTCTATGAATAAACATTAACTTGAGAGATCATGCTCACTGTATATGTCCATAACACTGAACAATGTATGGAAGCAGAAAATCAACCCATGGCACACAGCATCATTTAGAATCTGCATAGCACCGAAACAGTGGACTGTATAGTGCATTGGTCTGACACAGTACAATTTCTTACATTCTTGTGTCTATGTTACAGATAGCTGGAGCTTTATGGTGGTACTACATATCAAAAGGAATCGAGTACCTGGATACAGTATTTTTCATCTTAAGAAAGAAATTTAACCAAATCACTTTTCTACATGTTTATCACCACTACACCATGTTTACTTTGTGGTGGGTTGGTATAAAATGGGTTGCAGGGGGACAAGGTAGGTACTCTTATTTACCTTCTCAAATGCTGAACTGAAAGTGAAACATCTTGACAATTTAAATACCCTGTTTCCCCAAAAATAAGACCTAACCTGAAAATAAGCCCTATTATGATTTTTCAGAATGCTCATAATTAAGCCCTACCCCAAAAATAAGCTCTAGTTAAGTGAAACCCCGCCCTCCACCACCGTGCAGCACCCAGAAGAAGATGATATGACTGTATTGGAATAAGTGTAGATTGTTATGCATGAAAAGAATAAAACATCCCCTGAAAATAAGCCCTACTGTATTTTTTGGAGCAAAAATTAATATAAGACCCTTATTTTGGGGGAAACACGGTATATATGTGAATATTTTTCACATTATAATAAATGTTAAGTCCTGGAATGCTTCAGCTATAAGAACTCTGTTCTGGTATTATGAAGAGCACTTCACATTGGGTAGCTTCTCCCTCAACATCCACAGATCCCCCAGCAGGGGGGCTGGATCTGTGTGTTATACAGGGAGATTTGTACATGAGCTGGAACCCTGCAGAATTGGGGTCCCAGTTCACATACATTTGTATGCACGTTGTGGTCTCTGCAAACAACTGTGCTGTACAGTATATGCAAACCTGCCTCTCAGCACAGATGTTTCCATTGTATGTACAGATGCGTGGGGAAGGAGCTGTGTGATGCCTATGAGGCATGTGATACTGGGGGCAGAGCTACTCAGTGCAGTCTTCCTTCCCCACTCCCTGTTTGCTTGTAGGGTAAGTACTCTTCATAATTCCTGGACAGGGTTAAGATATACCCTCCTTCCTCTGGGAAATGTGGGGGAGGAAAGTAGAATATGACACTAGTCCTAGAGATTAAGAAACATTTTTCACAGGGACATAACATGCATGCAGATCCTTCTTTTTGTGTTTTAAATCTGTGTCCCCTATGAAACTACACACGTCTGCCCTGTTTAAGCTAGAATTATGTCATCAGAAAAAAAGGTAGTACGTCTAATTGTCTGTTGCTTAATCCTGCATACTGCTAAGTAAGTGTATTGTCAACTCGCTTAGTTGAGAGAAATTGTTCATAAGAATACAATCGAGGACTTGCAACTCTTTCCTCATCATTTTCTTTCATGCGAGGAAGAGGAAGAAATAATAAATCCGGATCCCTGCCCAGAGCACTGGATGAATCAGCTTTACCCAGCATTTCAAGCCAGGGGCCCAATAATCTGGAGGGGTGGGGTGGGATCTTTGCTACACTCTCTGATGTTATTGGAATTTCCAACTTTAAATGAATTGTTCTGTATGTTAGCCCTACTTATCCTATTTTATATTTGAAAAGGAAAATATTTTCCCACTGTAATTCTTTTTCACTTTTCACCCAAATTACTTAAATCTTGAAGTGTAAGGAGAAAATTAAGAGTGTGTCACCATATTTCTAAGTTGCAAATTTCTTTTTTTCCTCTTCCCTTTCACAGCCTTTTTTGGAGCTCAAATTAATTCCTTTATACATGTTGTTATGTATATGTATTATGGACTAGCTGCCTGTGGCCCAAAATTCCAGAAGTACCTTTGGTGGAAACGATACTTAACCATACTGCAGCTGGTAAGTATTTTCCCCTCCCTCCTAATTATTATATATAATAGGTATTTAAAATTTAACACACCAAGCTTGTAAAGTTAAAAGGATCATCACCACACCTCTGAAGCAAGGTCTTCTGTTCTGAGGTCAACTCACATAAGGTCATTGTGGATCTGAACCAGCAAGCAGTTTTTAAAATGATGTTCTAAGGCAGATGTTTTTGTATGGCAAGGAAAGCAATTATCTATAAACATTAAAAAAAACAGAACCAAGAAATTATCATAAGTCAGAGTACAGTGGTGCCTCACATAACGATTTGTCAGTCAGAATATATTGTTGTATTCTAATATTTCTTACTTAGTTACATAATATAGTAAAATAATTTTGTTGAAAAAGCAGCATGATAATTGGTTGAAATGTCCATACCAGTCCATGTACTGTAGATATAGGAGTTCTGCTGTTGCCACTGCATGAGTTGACAAAGACAAGATTCAGAGTCCCACCTTCTACAAGCTTCTACTGTGACTTTGATGCTTCTGTCTGTGAACAAATGCAAAAGGCCTGTACAGGTTTGAGGGCACATATGAACAGATACAATGATCTTTCCTCCCCACCCCACCCCAGCTGTCCCAGTTTTGTCAGTTTGTGGGGGAGCTTTTCTCTTCCACTTTTGGACTATAACTCCCACAGCTATCTTTGACCCTATGGTTTAGAATCTGATGGGAAGTGTAGGAGAAAATACGCAGAGGGTTGCCCACTTTATGTGGACGGCAGATTTCAGGACTTTTCAGTTAGGATATTTTCTGACTGTCGACAGCCGTCTTAAATTGTGTGTCAAAATAAGAAAATATTTTACAGTATTAAAATAAATAAAGCAAGCAAGCTTGAATTTAGTTTTTGCTGAACTTTTTGTTATGGCTGAAACATTTTTTCCCTAGTTATAAGCAGCATTTACTGTACAGAGATTATGGATCTTGGCATATGGTGAAGTGTATTCATGTTTCGAAATTCTGACCGGAGCTTATAGTAAAAACATATTGACTTGCAGACTGTGATTAATATAGTTCACTTTCTCTAATAGTGTAGCTATTGTTGTTTTATTCAGGTGGATTTGTTTTGAACGGGTATCGTTTCAGTTTTCCAGTCTGGTCTCTTTGTCTTCTGAATGTATGGTTGTGAATTCAGACACGCTTTTAGGATAAACAAAAATTGAAAAGTTACTTTTTAAAAGGAACATTTACTTTATTCATCACTCAACTTTGTGTTCTTACTTGGTTTTCTCCAGTACTCAGTTTTTTCCACTTTAATGTTTTGTAATTTTTAATTCCCTTAGGGAAGGTGGGGTGATGATTCTAAGAATAAAATTGTTCTCAAATGCAAAGAAAATCCCCTTAAAAGAATGCACTGTTCCCACAACTAGAAAAAGTAATGAGTAAATAGTACTGCACTCATTAGAGAGGGAAATATTAGTGCCAGTAGTCATAATTATATTTGGAAAACAACTGTCATTAACGCCTTTGCTTGCTCCCAAAAGTAGTATCTTACAAGTATCGTTGTTACTTGTCTAATATTTTACTTCCAAGCTCTGATTATAAAATGAAATATGGCTGAAGCTTATTGATCAAGGTCTTTGACACACTGTTTTCTTTACCTTTCAGATGCAATTCCACATAACTCTTGGTCACACCGCCATGTCTATTTATATTGATTGCCCCTTTCCTAAGTGGATGCACTATGGTGTCATTGTCTATGCTGTCACTTTCATTGTCCTGTTTGGTAACTTCTACTATCGGACATACAAGATGCCCAAGGAGCCAGTAAAGAATGGCAAGCTTAGCAATGGTGCTCTGGCAAATGGTATAAGCAAACCAGAACACGGCCTAGTTGTGGAAAATGGAAAGAAGCAGAAGAAAGCAAAGGGAGAGTAACTTGACCCAGGCCTTAACCACTGTTGGCAGTGAAGAGTCTCCAATTGGGTTGTAAACAAAAAGAGAGAGAAAGAAACGTTATCCTATCTATACCAATTGACCTTTAGGCTGTTGAACAGATAGAAAACATTATTTATGAAGATTGTTTTAACAAGAAACCTTCAACCTAAAATTTCTATTGTAATTATGTAATTATTAAGACTTTCTTGATCTCTGTGTAAAATTTTAGACTGCGGGTGTTGGTAATGTATGAAATAATTGCTGAAATAGCATAAAACTATAACTCCAGGGGTTAATATTACAGGCAACCAAGGATACAATTGACTTGTTGGAGCAGACATTTCTTTGGGAGAAAAAAATAACATATAATGTATGTTCTTCAGATTTCTGTCAAGAAAAGAATAATCTCCTGATTAATTTTCTTGCCCTTTTAAAAATCATAGTTTTGTTTGTAGTCTCTAAGACTAGATTGTGTTGGCATATTAATTTCCCATATTTTTTTCTGCCATTTCTCTTGCAACTTCTTATTGTGTGGAAATACACCTACCTCTTCATTTGCTGAAAATAACATCTAACATTATATACTAACTTGTTACATGGGAATCTCCTAATATAAATTTTCATGTTATGCTAATTCTAGAAAGTGTTGGCCTCTCTAATGCATTATCTAATTAATGGGATATCTTTTAAAAATCAATCCTTTGTTTGAGAATAAAATGTATTTTAAAGTCTTTATTTGAAAAAGTGTGGGGGGGGACAAACCATGGTCTAAAACAATCTCTGTTTCTAAGATGTCCTGAAACTATTGTTGCATGAAACCCATGGTGCTAATGCTGATAAAATGGTTGGCTGTTATGTTGTGGGAGAAGACAAAGAATAGAATGCAGTTCTTATCTTGCAAATTGCAATTGGAGGTCTCCATCCAGTAATAGGACTCAAATTAGTCATCACTAACTTATTTCATTGGGTTCAGTGGGATGTAATCATGATTAAATTCCACTGATTTGGGTCCTAAGTGCTTAAATGCCTTGAGCAAATACATTGGAGATCTGTTGCTGTGAACTGTTTACTCACAAGATGGTCTTGCCTAATAGTACTGTAATACTTGGCTGACTCATGATCTGTTTAAACAGCTGCTGTACATATATGTTCTTTGTCTATTGTCCTTGCAATCATGTCACTGCAAGAGCAGTTTTGTCTGGTAAGATTCTGTTCCTTCCATATCATCTCCTTTAAGGTTGCTGTCTTTTATATATATACTGTATATATGTATTTACCCAGAAGAAAGTCCCATTGAACTCAGTGGAGCTTGTTTCTGAGTAAACATGTATAAGGTTGCACTGTACATCTACTTTCCCCGTCATTCCTTCTGCTGCACCATTGTGGCTTCTCTCTAGCACTGATTGTCAGAGTACCTTAAGCTCTTCTCTACTGTGAACAGATGAGTTTCTACTGCATTAATGAGAAGAAAATTGACTAAGGGATTTGCACAGCCTTGGAAATAGATGGAGAGAAGTCATGATTTGCTCCAGCTTGGAGTATGCTCGAGGTAGAGTGGCAACTGTAGCTGAGGATGCCTTTAGATTTTTCTGTTCTAAATTCTAAAGCCAGTCCTCATATATTTATGAGATAAGGGCCTCTCCAGCAGTGTATTTTATATCCTGAAAATAAAACTGTTTAGTTGAAGCACAGGATATTCTGTTTTACTTTTACCCATATTGTATTGTCTATAATAAACAATAGAAGGACAAAGTCACATATTTCCTACATCTATGTTCAAATGTTTCGTGTTTTTTTAAAATTCCAAATTTTGAGAAAGTAATTTGAAAGATCATAAGTATCTTGGCATTTAATGTAGTTACAGGTCAACTTGCTAAATTGCTCTCCAAAATTAAACCCAAATGGTTGGTGTGATTCCAATTTGGCCCACAATTCCAAATGCACTTAATATATATTTAGCCTCATTGAACACAGTGGAACCAACTTCTGAGTAAACACCTATAGGAGTGCTTTGCTGGACAGCTTATCAGATCTGTTGGATTGTACGTGGCCTGGGATCATTCTTCGTTTAGTCTTGTTTAATTCAAGCTTTCCAGAAGAAAGCATAAAAGGTGGATAACAAATTATCTTGCAACTCAATTAATATGGTTTCAGTGGGGAAGAATTCGGCATTTGCTTTATTCTTCTGTTGAAATTAGTGGGACTTGCATGTGCTTAATCTTGGCTGAAATGTATGGAAATAAAAAAAGAGGAAAACTTTTTTGCATATATATTGACCTCTCTTTTTTTATATAGCATATTAGGATCTCAGCATGGCATTAGGCTTTGTTATAATCCATAGGAAGTAAACTATTCCAGTCAAAAGATGCAGGGTATTAGCAGTTTATGCCTGTACAGGTAATAATGGAAGACATTCTTGCACAAAAAATACGACTTTTGTCAAATGTTTTGACATAGATTTAATATCATAATGCTTTACATACCTGAATTTGCATGTATTAAACATCCATATTCAAAGGAATACCAGCTAATCTTGCATTCAATTCCAGGTAAATATTGCTTCTGAAAACCCGAACTATTGTTGCTTGTAAACAAGGCACTGGTTGGCATTGGGGCCCATACTCTAAAACTGTAAAGTAGTATTTTGTGCAAATTGTACCCACATCAGGGCCCGAATCTTGCACTTTCCTGGCATGTGTGACTACAGAGAAGATGCAATTCAATAATGGCTGGAATGCAGGAGTAATTCACATACTGTATTTATTTTCTGCATGGAAATGCACTAATGCATAACATTCACCCGGTGTCACAATTGTCTTCATGGCATATATACAAAGAATGAAAAGTTGCTGACTTTTAGATCCATATACATGCTCCCCAAAATACAGCACCACTGCTCTAGAACATCTGTGTTACAGGGGTTTTTTTCTGTGAAAAAAAGCAACATATCAAGGGGCCCTCAGGGAGGAAGCTTTGTGTAATGTCCATCATCTACAGAGCATTCCTAGACTCTATGTTCCATTGATTTTTGTGTGGCTTGAAAATGAATATATTATAATATGTTACTGAAGTTTTTGTGCATGTGAATTATTTTTCTTCATTTTTTGAAGAAATGTTGTATCAAATATTTCTACATCTCTGTGTTCTTTCTTGTCTAAACTGTTAGAGCCACTAAATAACTAGCTTATTCATTTGGTGGCCTTTTCTCTTTCTTTTCTTTTTCTATTAGTAAAATATAGATAGATTATTTATGGATAGCTGGATAACCAGGGTTCAGTAATGCTGTTTCCCCACTGTGCCTTGTAGGAGACAAACCAGCTTGGTCTCTAAAGCATCCCCAAAAGAAGGGAATGGTAAATCACTTCTGATTACCCTATACTTAAAAGACCCTAGAAAAGGTTGCCAAAAGTGAGAATCGATGTGACAGCACATTGTTGTTATTAAATGATAGCTATACAGTAATAGGTCCAAGCCTCAAGAGGGACAATTACTTTACACGAGCATGTCTGTTTTGCATCTAAAAGACCCTTCACTCAGGAAATACCCTTTCCAAAGAATACTGAACAGTTGCCTCCAAGGACCTGCAAAAGAAAACAGGTTTTCAGAAGTTAGATGAAGACATACATTTAGGGGGCTTAACAGAATCTCTCCCCCACTGACATTTATTCCCAAAGCATGGAACCCCTGCAGAAAAAAGCCTTCTCCACTGAATTATCCTCAGTGGTTCTGGACAAGTGAGAAAGGCCTCTATGGCTGATGCTAACTGGTGCTGAGAATACCTCCTCCAACACCACCGAGTCTGGACAGCTTCTGAGAAGCAGAGTAGACAATGGCCAGCATCCAAAAGACAAAACAATCTGTAAGCACCCACTGGAACAAAATGTGAAGGAGAGACTCAGGAGATTGAAAAAATGGGTTTATTAAAAAATACCCAACATCTTTTGGTGAAATAAATCTGTGGCCCACCTAGGGGCTGTTCAACATACAGGGACAGTGCATCAGTTAACAGACATTCAGAAGATATTTTGCCGGACTGTTTTTATTGAGTATGATACCTGAGAACATAGATAAGACAAAGGAGTATATAGTTGTACACATAGTCACTGCAGCCAGAATTTTATATGCCAAAAATTGGAAAAGTCCGACGGTACCGAAACAAGAAGATCTTATAGAGAAGATAAGGGAAATAGCAGAAATGGACATTTTATCAGAAGTGATGAAGGACTGTCCTTTACAAAAGGCAAGTGAAAGATGGGATTTATTCTATAAATGGATTGAGTCAATAGACATCGTATGAAGAGCATACAGTGAAATGAGAACTTAAATCTGGAAGGCAGAAAATAGTAAAAAGAGCAATTTGGAATTTTGATATGGCAATATGTATAGAATGGATGTTAGTATGTTATTGTTTCTCCTTTCCCCCTTAACATCAATTCCCTTTTTCCTTTCTGTCACCCCTTGTTAAAAATAAATTTTAAAAAAAGAAGATACTTTGCCAGAACACATGTAATGCTCTTTGTACAATATATACAGTTATCATCCCAAAGAAGGGCAGTACCAAAGAATGCACCAACTACCGTCAATTGCACTCGTTTCACACACTAGCAAGGTTAGGCTCAAATTCCTACAAGGTAGGCTTCAGCAGTATGTGGACCGAGAACTCCCAGAAGTACAAGCTGGATT